CCTGTCCCACAAATACGCTTGTCTCTTGAACATAGCATCAAGCTGCTGTCTGATTGACACACTCTGACATTTCCTGCCAAACTGCAGGGGTTTGTAGGACAGTTTAGGGCTGCAGCCAGAGTGATAAAGATTTAGACTGATTCCATTTGCTTTTGCTCTATTTTGGTAAGGAAAAGGTGATTTTTCAGATCCCCTCGCCTCTACCATGCAGGTTATTTTCTTTTCTATTTGGTTTAACCAAAAAAAAGTGGTGACAATATTACAATTGTATACTTTTATAACTAAATATATTAAGTTATAAAAAAAATCATTGTAGATGCTAAAAAATAGGCATATCAACACTATAATTGTCACGATTCGCTGCTGGAAGGAATGATGGAGACGTGGATAACAAACGGTATTTAATGAAAGAATCACAGGGGTAAATCCACAACAGGAACAGGGGTAAACACACATAATCCAACAAGTAGACCTGACCAAAGACAGAACACAAAGGCTGGGACTTAAATACATGGGGTAATTAGAACTAAACAAGACACACCTGAAATCCATGAACAATCAACACGAGGGAGAAACTGGGTCATGTAGCACATGGGGAGGGAAAACACAACAAAGACAGTCCAGGGGCATGACAATAATGTATTAAATATAATCTATTTTTTAAAATGTATTACTTATTTTAGTTTTTTTTAAGATTATTACATTCTTCTTGTTTTTAAAGATTTAGTGAGTGTCAGATGATAGCACAGGTAATATAGTAAAACAAAACAATACAATATGTATGTAACGTTTATTATTATTTATTAGCTCTAAAAAAGGGGAATATTTATGACGAATTATAACTGGTTATGATTCATAATAAATATTTAGATTATATCTTCGAATTAACTGTAGCAGAATCAATATTACAATTATTTGATCTGTCCGTCCACCGAGCAGACAATATAATCATTTATCAATTCAAGGAATATTTATTTTCTGGCCACGGAACAATAAACTGTCCTTCTTTGTACAATGCTAGCAGTAATTCTTAGCCAAATGTAGCAAGGGTTCAAACATTCATTGACTTGGAACTGTGAACAGTAAACAGAGACAATTCGTTGTGAATATAAGGGATTTAATAAAATGAAACTATATCTAACATATAACTAACTAAAACATATATATACACGGAATGAAACAAAGTAAGGAAAAGATAGAGAATAGGAAAAGAATGGCAGTATTTCACATCACTTAACCACAACCTTTGAAAATCACCAAAGAATCCAATAATCACCTTAAAAGGGACTGAAATTTAAACACGCATCTGAATAATTTTAAGCGGTTACTTGCATTGGTTTTCGATTGCTGAAAAAGAGTCCTGATGCGGTAGATAACGGAGGTCTTTTGATGAGTTCGTGAGGAGTCAGCTGGAAGTTTTTACTTCTGGTTCTTCTGAAGAAGAAGTCCACAGCGACTAACGTTACTTGAAAGTAAAAACTGCCGGAAAATAAAACTCAAGAGGAAGGTCTTGAGAGTCCTGAAAGGTGTTGTCTCAAACGAAGAAGAAGTTTTCTGAGCAAAGTTATTTTGGGCTGATCGCTTTTGAGAATTTCTATTCTGTGTGTGCTGGCCAATGAGAGGCATGGATTTTGAGCGGGAGAATCTTTCTTTGTCTCTTGTTTTATGGCTCATTTGCATGCTTTATGGCCGGTCTGGAATATCCGTAGTTTTAACCCAAAATATCGTACGAGTCATATGATGCGTTTCACAATCACATACTGTACGTCATTGTCCGAGAAATGAAGAACAGGTAACATTGATACCAAGAAACAATAATCTGGAATAGATTAAACCAAAGATACATACATACACCTGAATATAAGTGTTTTATGGCTTTAACTAATACAAATAACGAGTGGTAACTCATCTAATCTAACAAGGGAATGTACACACAACACATGCATATACCAGATACAATTATAACTGATTAATTATAGTCTAAAATAAAGAAATGTCTTTATGTGTGTGTGGGTGTTAGTTTGGGTGTGTGTGTGTGTTCGTTTGGCCATTTACAGCTCGTTGTAGAATGTGTTTGAACTCAGACTGCAGGATGCCCGTGGGGGCTGGTTCTAATCTTCTTTGACGGCGAAGAACCATTTGGCAATTTAAAACCCCTATACAACGTAACATCTCTGACCAGACCTGTCATTTATATGCAAATGTCAAAAGGCTAAAAGGGGTCTTTTAAGCCATAAACAGTCCAACTATCATGCATGATCCTACGCAGACGCTACATGTAATATTCACAAATGTGTAAAATTATTACAATTAATAAAATAAACAGTTGTTCATATAAGCATATAAGCAAATTATGTTATAATAAAAATATTTTTATTTATTTTATTACAGATTATTAAATTAAAAGTATGAGTGAGTGCCAGATGATGGCAAAGGAAATGTAGATCTAAAAAACAGAAATGGGCATGAAAATGTAAATATCCAAATATCCGAATGATATTGTTAAATTTAAACATCCCTAATATCAGATATCAGAATATCTAATATATAACATAAAAATATGAAAGAATGACAGCAGTACAGCCAGGCTTAAGACCTTAACTTACTTGAGACTGACTAGCAGAGTTGGACTCAAAGGACTAAACTAGACATCTCTTTGGAAATCACCCGAGCTACTGGAGAAGTTCACTGTGTGAAGTATGAAATCCGGCAGAGGAATTAATCCCTTTACCCTAGTACCCTTTAAAATACCCTCTAAATGCAAAAACTCATTAAATCTATTATATTGCACAAGTAAGTGAGATACCAGCAACCTGGTGGAAGTTGTTTAAAACCATTATCTTCAACTTTCTTTATTCTGTATTTGAATTCATTCCTGTTGTAAAGGGTTAAAACAGATCTCAAGCAATACTATTCGATACTCTTTGTGTTTGAATGCGGTTAGCATATCAGTGACAACGTGAGATAATTCTTCACAAGACTTAGTATCTGTGGTTTTCTAAATATAACATCTTATGACTTGAGGTTGTTAGTCCAAGGTATAATTCCTTGAAAAGAAGTTGCTTATCTGGCCCTTGCAGTAAGTTAGAAAACTACATTTCCACTCCATAAGTCCATTATATGGTAAAGTGAAGGGAACGAGGGAAGATTGTGCTGATTTTCAAATCCAGATTGCCAGCTACAGCCTAAATAATAGACATTGTTGAATTTCCCTTCAGTATGTTCATGAAAAATCCAGGCAAATCCAGCCAAAAAAAGCACACATCCTTGCCTACAACCGACGAGTGATACTAGCAAAAGTAGTACGTCTTATACTTACTCATATTTGTTAGCCGTTACCAAAGGGTGTTGTATTAGGATATGTGGCTGCACTTGGCTCAGTATTTCTAGTAAAGTGAATGGACAAGCACAGCACAATTTATTCTCAAAGTGATGGTTGGTGTAAAGTTCTCTGAGTATTCTGCACATGGCCTCGGGTTATGTTGTAATGACAGTCATAAGCTTTAGGTGACTGCACTTGTGGCCCTGTAGACATCTCTGCTTGACCTCTTGGGACCCATGGGAGATAAATAGGCAGTGTGCTTGAAAGACGCAATGAGCTAACTTGCCCTTGGTATTTGTATGTGCTTAGCACAGCAAGGTAAGGTATAATAACTTTCCAAAAGCACAGCTCTGGAACCGATGTGGCGAAACTATTAGGCATTAGTTCTTTGACGCATTAAGAAAATAAAGCACAGATGTTGAGCATGGTTCAATGCTCTCCATGGGTCTTCAAGAACCTGCTTCATTTAGCCTGTAAATTAAATAAAGGATTGCATGGCAGCGCACCAAAAACTCACAATATCACTTGAGGACTGCAGCTCCGTCAAAGATGCCATGACGCGCAAATTCTCAGAATATATTTCTTCATCAACGCCTTGACAAGATCGAATTGAGAAATCAAACATTACAAAGAAATCAGTGCCAAAGCAAAGAGCAGCCTGCCATGAGGGGACATCTGTCTTCAAGCATAATCATATTCTATTCGCAGGTGGCCATCTGAATACATAAATATTTTATTATCATGTTGAAACTTTGGCAGAGAAAGTCAATTTTGCTGACATTTATATAGAAGTGTTATACCACCATTGCCACCTATAAATCTCAGTGATATATTTCCCCAGCTCTTATGTGTGTCTGCTGCAAATGCCCATGTTGGCAAAAATGAAACTTCAGACCTAAAACAGGCAGGCACTGACTTCTGTATGATGCATCCATATGAACAGCACGGCAACACGCTGCTGCATATATTTGTCATGCCTAATATCATTCATATAAATGGCAGACTGATAAATGGGTGCATTAGTAGAGCTGCCCACATAAAATAGGTTTATTCAGTGCCGACAGGAACACAAACTGATGCCCTTAGATGCTCAAACAGGAAAAAATGGACATGCTGGTGTAATGAACAAGACAAATTACTCTACACTGGATTTGCGTAGGCATGCTCCTTGAAATAGTACAAAAGTTTGCATCGTTGAGAATTTCTCATAATCTCGATGAGAATGTTTGCACAATAATGATAATGCTCAACAAAGTGTGTGTCTTGTGTGTGACCCCGGAAGTGGAGGAAGTTTGCATTGTCTAATCTCTCATTAACACTCTCACAACATGAAATTCATGACTAACTGTACTCCATGTACCTGCATTATAGACAAGATCCAACTGAGAGCGCATTACTCTAACGCTATCCAAATAATTCACTGTGACGGCTTCGCTTTCGATGATTTTGTACGAATCTTGATTTTTATATATAAAGTCATGACAACCTTAGAGGTTTTAGACTTCTCGACATTCCCCAATTTATCCAATCATGCTAAATGGAGTAAAATGCGAGCTTAAGGAACTGACTTTGTCATGATTTTCCCCCTTTGCTCTTTTAACTGAGGAGAGATGTAATACTAGATATGGAAAGAAAATGAAAATTGGAAAGATGTCAAACCTTTTCGTTAAGAACACACCTGAGGGGAAGGAACCAGGTTGGGTGCCATTAAATTATGGCATCAAGCTTTTTTTCCACACTGAAACTGAAAATGCAGTGTGATGCGACATAATCACAGCCATTAAGATGGTATTTAATATTGAATATAGATTTAAGTGGAGCAGAATTGTAGACCTATTAGTTTTTATAATGGACGGGGCTATAAAGTGTGATGCTGCAGAAATTCACAAAAAAAAAATCAGATTTACGCAACAGTTCAAAAGTTTGGGCTGCATTTAAATCTGTAATATTATGACATTTAAAATAACTGTTTTCCATTTTAATAGATTTTAAAATGTAATTTTTTCCTGTGATGGTAAAGCTGGATTCTCAGCAGCCATTCCTCCAGTCTTCAGTGTCACATGATCCTTCAGAAATCATTCTAATATGCTGATTTGGTGCTCAAAAAACATTTCTTATTATTATCAATGTTGAAAACAGTTGTGCTGCTTAATATTTTCATGGAAACTGATACATTCTTTTCAGGATTCTTTGAAGAATAGAAAGTTCAAAAGAACAGCATTTATTTAAAACAGAACTCTTGTCACTTTTGGTCAATTTAATGCATCCTTGATGAATAAAAGTATTAAATGTTAAAAAAAAGTAATAATAAAATCTTGCTGACCCCAAACTTTTGAATGTTAGTGTAGATGGAAGAGATGTACACAGCTGATGTGACAAGCTGAAATACAATATTTGGAGACTGCAGTCTTTCCCTTTTGATTAGATAAGAGCTGTACTTGCATGCCTAGGAAATAGCTGCCTGAGGCGTTACTAAGAGGGAGAAGAGTGAACTAACTTGCCTTCAAGGGACGTTGGTAGTACATGCTTTTCCTTTTATACTTTAACTAATTTCTTTGAAGTAATAATAATAAAAAACAAATAACAGCAAAAAATGAGAAGAGATATAATACTAGATTTGTGTGAAAGAAAATGTGCGATAGAAAAACCTGTTACTGTTCAAAACTTTGGGGTCATTGCGAAGAAATTAATACTTTTATTCAACAGGGATGCATTAAAATGATCAAACGTGACCTTAAAGACATTTATATTGTTACAAAAGATTTCCATTTCAAATACTTGCTGTTTTTTTTTTTTTTTTACTTTCTACTCATCTAAAATCCTGAAAAAAAAAATATATCACGGTTTCCACAAAATTATAATGAAAAAGAGATAAGAATGATTAATGGGACAGGAAGGTGTGCAGTGTTTGCCCTCATGGATCCAAGAGGCTGTGTGCAAATGTAGCTGCAAAGATTCCCACTATAAATTAATTAGCACAGCCTCAATGAGCATCGGTGGAGAAGGAAACATTGAGGAAATGTTTCATCCATCGTCAGTGTCATGAATAACCTAATACTGTTTTGAAAGTGTCTGCTGGAAACCAGACTAAGCTGGTTTGGTAGTCTTAAAGGGTTTCGGACCCTTGTCAGCTGCTCAGACCGGCTAAATCAGCATTTGTTTTTTTTTTGCTTTGCTTTCTCTGCAACCGTTTCATCCTCTCTAACACACTCTCCTCCAAGAGGCTGTGTGCAAATGTAGCTGCAAAGATTCCCACTATAAATTAATTAGCACAGCCTCAATGAGCATCGGTGGAGAAGGAAACATTGAGGAAATGTTTCATCCATCATCAGTGTCATGAATAACCTAATACTGTTTTGAAAGTGTCTGCTGGAAACCAGACTAAGCTGGTTTGGTAGTCTTAAAGGGTTTCGGACCCTAGTCAGCTGCTCAGACCGGCTAAATCAGCATTTGTTTTTTTTTTTGCTTTGCTTTCTCTGCAACCGTTTCATCCTCTCTAACACACTCTCTCCACCTCCCTCCTGAGCCCTCTGGGTTGCATGGATGTATTTGATGGTTATGTTAAATCGAATCTGGTGTTGTTCTTATCTCTTGCAGCATGGAAAATGACGACAGATGATAAATTGTATCAAGGGAGATGTTTATCAGTGCAGAGTGCATTTATCACAGAAAGATCTCCCTGAGAGAAATCTGGGCCAGTCCTCTCAAGTTCATTTGGAAGACTTTCGCAAAGACCGGAATGCTGTGTACATCCTTCTCTGTTTGTCTTTAATTAACCCTCATGTTTTATTGATATTGACTTTAATGATTTTATGTTTGGTGTCCCAGAGACCCCAATGATGTACACTGCACTATTTTTTAAAATAATTTATACTCTTATTCAGCAAGGATACATTAAATTGATAAACAGTAACAGTAAAGTCATTAAAATGATTACAAAAAAAATTATATTTCAAATAAATGCTGTTCTTTTGAGCTTTCCATTAATCAGATAATCATTCAAATAAAAAGGTATCACCATTTCCACAAAAACATTTAGCTGCGCAACCATTTTCAATATAATAAGAAGAAATGTTTCTAAATCAGCATATGAGAATGATTTCTGAAGGATCATGTGACAGTGAAGACTGGATTAGTGGCAAAAGGTTCGCCATCACAGGAATAAATAATTAAAAAAAAAAACAAATAAAAATTTGAAAAAGTTATTTTAAATTGTAATAATGTTTCATAATATTACTATTTACTGAATTTTTTTTACAAATAAATGCTGCCTTAGTGATGGTAATATGTATAGTAAAAAGTTAATAGCATTTCAAAATTAACCTCAGATATTAAGAAAACATACAAGGTTAATTTCAAAATTGCAGGTAATATTGTAGTGTATATGTAAAAGAAAAAATCGAAATGAACCAAACATATAACGAAAATATATACATTTTGTTCATATATATATATGTACTTCCTCAGAATTCTAAATTCCTCAGAATTAATGAAAACCTTGCAGACAGATAATACTGAAGCTTTAATCCACTTATTTAGTAGAAAAGTAGACACTTTTCAGTAAAGTGCCTGGTATCTTTTCTAGTAACTATGTTTATGTAGACATTTTTTTTTTAATCAGATTTTTAACATTCATATAAGTATCAACCTGACTAGCGCATGTCATGCAGATTCATTAACCAAATCAATAACGAATAATTACATATAATAATACCGCATCTCACTGTTCAGCATCTTAATCCATGAGTGGCACATTTAAAAACACTGTTTTAAGTCAAACATAATTTGAAAAATGCCTCTCAAGATCCCTTCTTTTTGCTCCTGTCAATCACACTCCATCTTGCTGTTTTTCATTATACCAAATTGACATGTTAAACTGACATCCATAATAATTACTATTACAAATAATTGTTTTCTTTATGTTCCACTTCATGCCATGCCTCCTTTAACCATAGTAAATTGCCTCTTGTAGCTTATGGCTATATTATGTGTGTTTATTTATTTGTGTATTTAATGGATAGATATTCATAAGCTTGTCAGTGTATGGTTTTAATGAAGTGTTTGTGTTCAATGATACTTCAAGTCCCTTGAGACCGTCTTCATAGAGGAAGGAGGATTGTACGTTACTGTAACCCTGCCTTTCTTCCTGAATGAAAAGCTACAGAAAACATATCTCTGCCCTCTTGTAAAATATTAATGAGATGAAAATGAGTCAAAACACATAAAGAGCACTTTTGCTAAATCTGCTTCCACAGACTTCCACATACATACACTCACACACAGTGCTATGAAACATCTAAGCTCCCTGCCACGTTTCGCTTTGTGAAAGCCTCTTGCCAGAATTAATGAAAACCTTGCAGACAGATAATACTGAAGCTTTAATCCACTTATTTAGTACAAAAGTAGACACTTTTCAGTAAAGTGCCTGGTATCTTTTCTAGTAACTATGTTTATGTAGACATTTTTTTTTTAATCAGATTTTTGACATTCATATAAGTATCAACCTGACTAGCGCATGTCATGCAGATTCATTAACCAAATCAATAACGAATAATTACATATAATAATACCGCATCTCACTGTTCAGCATCTTAATCCATGAGTGGCACATTTAAAAACACTGTTTTAAGTCAAACAGAATTTGAAAAATGCCTCTCAAGATCCCTTCTTTTTGCTCCTGTCAATCACACTCCATCTTGCTGTTTTTCATTATACCAAATTGACATGTTAAACTGACATCCATAATAATTACTATTACAAATAATTGTTTTCTTTATGTTCCACTTCATGCCATGCCTCCTTTAACCATAGTAAATTGCCTCTTGTAGCTTATGGCTATATTATATGTGTTTATTTATTTGTGTATTTAATGGATAGATATTCATAAGCTTGTCAGTGTATGGTATGGTTTTAATGAAGTGTTTGTGTTCAATGATACTTCAAGTCCCTTGAGACCGTCTTCATAGAGGAAGGAGGATTGTACGTTACTGTAACCCTGCCTTTCTTCCTGAATGAAAAGCTACAGAAAACATATCTCTGCCCTCTTGTAAAATATTAATGAGATGAAAATGAGTCAAAACACATAAAGAGCACTTTTGCTAAATCTGCTTCCACAGACTTCCACATACATACACTCACACACAGTGCTATGAAATATCTAAGCTCCCTGCCACTTTTCGCTTTGTGAAAGCCTCTTGCTGCTGTATTACTTGTTTGATCACAGAAACACTCTTTTACATTTAGCATCAAAGAGTTTATAAGTGTCTCTCTCTTGCATGCTCTTTCGTACATCTATCTCATCCGCCTTTCACGTTCCAATTCCAATACCGTAATGCTTTCGCATCCAGGAGGGTAAACGAATAAACTCTTGGTTTTTGAGCAAGTGATACATGAAAGGAAATAGTCTGTCACGCACACACACACACACACACACACACACACACACACCCACAC